TTTTTTTTTTTTTTTTTTTTTCTCTCGAAAGCAGCGGCGATGTCTACCTGCCTGGCTACTCGAAGGTCGATGTCTCGGGGCCCCGATACGCGTCTATTGTGCGTCTGGCTTGCCCCGACACTTAATGCACACAGAGATACGTGCACGTCCGTGGCGAAATGCGCGCGCGTTTCCATCGTAACGACGCGCCGCTGCGAGCGACATCGAGAGAGTGTGCGTCCGGGAACGTGCCGAACAGGATTTCAGAACAGCCACGAAAGTGGTGTACGCTGCTCTCTCCATGGATTCTCTCTCGCGTCCGCGCTCTTCTTCTATTCTGTCCTTCTTACGTGCATTATAACTCTTGAAGTAATCCTACGCGATCCGGAGATCTCGCAAACACGGCCAGGGAGAGAGGTGTCCACCGCGTACTACCTTTGCTACTCATTTTGCTCCTCGTTTTCCAAATTTCACGTACGTCGCGATATACAGGGTGGCCCAAAAATCACTTCCTACCAAAATAATTTTTTTTATTATATATCTATTATATATTTTTCTTCCGCGCAAAAACATAACGATAATTTGTGAAACTTAAAATTAATAAAATTAATTTTTTTCTTACATTTTACTAACAAAATAGGAAGAAACTTTTGGCCCTACGCAGCTATATATTTTGCTCTGTTTGCCCGAAAAGCAAACTGACAATCCGAAAATAAAGAATTTTGACGTTTCACAGGCCCGTGAATATTGAGGATAATTTTACTTGTAAAAGAAGGAATTGTACGAATAAATAGTTAAACGAAATAATTCGTTGAGAATAAAGGGAAGGCGATGGGAATTCTAAAGAACGAAAGAGAGAATTGAGAGGCTGCGGATATTTTCTTAACTCTCTTTCAGCAGCATTCTTCGTCGAAAACATATTAGGTTAGAGGTTAGCCCCCGTGGGCTTTCACGAGACCCTTCAAAATGCCCTATCTTGGCTGTCCTTGGGAACCAAAAAAAAAAAAAAAAACCAATCGATAGTTTCGACGGAAGAAGCTCGTAAATTTGCCCGCTTATCAGGCGTATTATTCGTTGGAAATCGGAGGGGGGGGGAAGAGGGGCGAATTTTAACTCGCAGCGTCAAGAACTCGCCAGAAGTTTTGCTTCTTTGTAGAAGCGCCGCGACGCGGAAGGAGAACAGAGACAGAGACAGAGTCGCTCGCGCGCCTACGTGCTTCCAAGAAGCGTATTTAAAATCGTTTTCTCTCCGCGATTATCGAACCGCGTCCACGAGTAACTAATTTCTCGCGAACAACTTAACACGTATGCTGAGGTTCGCAGTCTCTCGGCGAATTATCTCGGAATGGTACACGATGTATTTTTTTTTTTTTTTTTTGGTTTTCTGAGAGTATGCTATGTGACAAAAATGAAAAAAAAAAAAAAAAAAATTTTATTCACATTAGCACGCCGGATTTACACGATGCTCTAAGATTTAATACACTGCACCGTACTTAGTTTCTGTGATACAATAATATTGTAAAAAAAAAAAAAAAAAAGTTTCTTCTATCGGAGAGTCGCTTCGCGGAAACCGATAAGCAAACTCGTTATCCGCACGTGTCGCGTTAACGAAGTTCCTAGTATCTGCAAATATATATCTCCTTTCTCCCACTGCCTCTCTCGTTCTTCGAAAAATCTGTCACGACACGATGAAACACGCGCATCGTCAGCCTCTGGGAAATCGAACTGCAGGACGTCCGAGTTGTCCGACGGAGAACAAATCGATCGTACTTACAGAAGTATAAAAACCAACAATAAGCAAAAGCAGCAGCAGCTCGCTTAACTCGAAAATGTGGCACATGTTACACTCGTGTTACTCGTCTTCGTTCAACGTTCGTGTCACCGTCCTCGTCGATGTTCCGCTTCTCCTGCAGGGTTTTCGCGTTGGACGAACAAAGAGACGTCGAGCTGAGAGGGAAGGCGAGCGGCAGAGAGAGAGAGACAGAGAGAGAGAGAGAGAGAGTCGTAGCTTCATTTTCGTTCCGCTCGTGCGGAACTCGTTCCTCCTTTCCGTACCTTTCGACCCGCATCGCCTCCTTTTCCATTCGTTCGTTCTGTCTCTATTCCCCCCCCCCTCCCGCCGTGCATGCCCGAGGTTTCTCCCCTCGAACGAGCAGCGCGACTGCACACAGGGTGTCTCGAGAATTTATCTCGCCCTTCGACTGTCCCTTGGTGCGTCGAGAACAACGTCCCAACTGTTTCTGGCTCATTGATGGAAAAATCTAGCGTTTTCATTCCGTTTTAAGCGACCGCTCTCTCGTGTCACATCCGCTCGAATGTCTGTGCGTATGTTCGTACGTATGTATGTATGTACTTTCGTTAGAGTAGTTTGCGATTGAACGAATTCCATCAGCTACGTGGAATATAAATAGGTTAGTCGATAAATGGACCAAGTGGATTCTGTTTCGGCAATTCTACTCGTGCTTCGTTGCGATATATACAAATGACGTTTCGAGTTTTAGATTTTCTTGCATTTTTGCATTGGGAAGAGGGGGGGGGGAGGCGATTTCACCTCGGTGTGTTCGTGAGGTATTCTCATTGACTGGTAACCTAATTTCGCGCGCGCACGAAGAAGGAACGAAATTGTACGAGGCAGTAGCCCCGCCTGCTCGTCAGAAATAAACGTGCAAAGGGTGTTCGAAAGGGTTCGAAAGCAATTGCAACGCTATCTTTGGATAGCTCCCTACTTCCCGAACGCCTCTTGTGCATCCGAGTGGAAGAGAGCCTCGCGTGCATACGCGTATAAACGCGTATACCACGTGCACCACGCATACATGCTCGTGTCCTTTTGCATCGTCGTCGTCGTCGTCGTCGTCGTCGTCGTTGGGGGACGCGGAACGCGCCTCGTTTTCCGAGACGGAGCCACGTTAAAACTACAGTTAATTCTCCCGATAGGCGCGTGGCGGTGCTGAACGTCGCCTCTCTATGCAACGTACAAACGCGACATACGCTGTGACGACGACTCTTCTTTGATAAAAGCATCGCTCCCTAAGTGATTTTCAATGCGCGATACCAGCGACTCTCAGTCGCTCTTCCAAAGGAAATTACGATATTTTTTTTTTCTTTCTCCTTCTTTTCTGAACAAAGAGGAAACACAAAGGTGATAAAAGGTTTTCAAGAGCTGTAGATACGGATGATCTTTCATATTTGGATATGATAGGCTTATCAGCGTTTGATAAAAAGTATTATTACATGTAATATACAGGGTGTTCCGAATTTAAATACTCAAACTCTCGTTTTTACTTGTGCAGAAAGAAATTTACTCAACGCGGGGAATTGAAAGTTAATTCCTTACAGAATTATTATTCGCTGAGTCAATCAAATTTTGATGGAGTTCAAAATTATTTCTTACCGTATAACTATGATGATACGAAATTGTCAGCACGTGAAAAAAAAGTCGGACACCCTGTATAATTAATATTACACATACGTAATATATTAACATACAATACATATAAAAGTATTATTATAAAAAAACGTTATTTGACAAAAACTTAATTTTCTTCGGTTTTTTTCCTTTTTGTTCAACAATTCTTCAAATAATGGAGATATTTAAATAAAAAAGAAAGAAAAAATGTCTACAAATTCCCAATTGATAGGTTAACAGAAAAGAATATGAAAAAGACATTAGAGAGAATTAAAACATGGATTGCGAGATGGTCGTTTGCTTGGCAGGCGGCGTTGGCCAAACAATCCACGGGAAATAGTTAAACAATACCGTTTAAATGCGTGTTTGCATTGCAACACGCGGCGGACCGAGATAAAGAAGCACGTCCTTCGTATATACTCGAGGCGACGGAACGGAATATTGTTCTCCTCCAAGTGGAGGACAGGCTCGGATTCGCATCTTGTATCCGTATGAATCCCACTTTGAGGCCGAACTGGGTGATTCCCTACCATTTCCTTTGAACTGAATCACGGTTAGAAATAGCTGAATTCGAGTATGACGATGAATATTTAAATTCAGCTTTCTCAAAAAACGAATGTTTTAAATGAAAAAAATTTTACTCCTCAATTAGTTTTTTTTTTTAACGTGGTA